CTCTCTCTCTCTCTCTCTCTCTCTCTCTCTCTCTCTCTCTCTCTCTCTCTCTCTCTCTCTCTCTTTCTGCCGGGGATTATTGGCATTGCTGTTAGTATAAGTATGTTGTTTGTCATTGTTATCATTACTGCTGCTACTACTACTTATAACTAGTGCTGCTATTATTATCATTATTATTGTTATTACCATTATTCTTGTTGTTATCATTGTTATCATTATTGATGTTATTTTTATTATTATTATTACTATTATTATTATTACTATTATTATTATCATTATTATTTTTATTATTATCATCATTATTGCTATTGTTGTTATCATTATCATTATCATTTTGTTATTATAATTATCATTTATTATTATTATCATTATTATTGTTATTACTATTACTATTATTACTATCGTTATTATTATTGTTGTTGTAGTCATTATTATGTTATTATCATTGTTATTGTTATTATTATTACTAATATTATTATTAATGTTACTATTATTATGTGATTATTATTATTATTATTGTTATTGTTATTACTATTACTATAGTTGTCATTGTTGTTATTGTCAGTATTATTACTATCATCATTATCATTATTATTATAATCATTATTAATAATATATTTTTTTTGTTATTATCAACATGATTATTATCATTATAGTTATTAATATTACTGTTATTACTAATATTATTACTATTATCATTATTATTACTATTATTATCATCATTATTATTATTATTGTCGTTTTTGTTATTGCTATTGGCATTATTGTTATTATTCTTATCATCATCATTATCATTATCCTTGTTATTGTTATTGTAATTGTTACTGTTACTGTTACTGTTATTGCTATTATCATTGTTGTTGTTATTATCATTATTATTATCATTATTATTATTATTATTACTATTATTACTCTTACTATTACTATTACTATTATTATCATTTTCAGTAATAGTAATAGCAGCAGTAGTAGTATTATCATTATTATTATTATTATCCCTACCCCAATCACCAGTATTATCTCAATGATTTGATTCAAAACTATGCCCATCATTATCACTGGTTACATTAATATTCTAATAAAATGAGAGTAAAGATTAGGATAATGCTGAGGGTAATGATAATGGATTATGATAGATATAATGATAAAGGTGATGATGTAATGATGATGATGATGATAATGGTAAAATGATGATGATTGTAATAATAATGAAAATGATAGTGATTGTAATGATAATTATGATAATTATGATAATGGTGTTCGTAATCATAATGATGACAGCGATTATTTTATTATTGCTAATGATAACAACATTAAGAGTAAATACAAAGGGAGTAAACTAAGTCCATTATTAATCTTAATAATTATGATTAAACGGTGACATTAAACGGTGATAATATTGCTAATAAGGACAACGCATATGATTATACCAATGATAAAGATACTGATGATTATAACAATAACATTGCTAACGAAAATGAATATCATTGTTATCATCTTCGTTGTTTTCACTCGTCACTGCTATATTTACCTTCATATATTTTGCTGTTATTGCAACATTTTTGCCATAATCGTATGAAATTCTGGATAAGATATTAACAAGGATAGATAACCAGCGGGTGAATATATATTCGAGGGATACAAAAAGCAGAAAAAGCTATTTTTTTGTTAAAAACGAAACTAAATTTATCCGAAAACTCTACGGGGCCAACAACCCACATTTGGCGACCGGGATGATTAGATTAATACTAAAGAACACGCGTATTTAAACCATTTTTTTTTCTTTTGCTTGGTGAATAAAAAAAATAATAATAATATTAAATTAAAGAGCTGTAGAGTGAAATTATTCTATCGTAATATTAACATGAGTGTGTGTCTTTTTATGTCTGTGTATGAGTTTTAAAGTGTGTATGTATGTGTGTGTGTTTTTACGTGTTTTTTTATTGTATGACTCAACCAGCTTACTCATAGTTAATTAAGCTAAGTCAAATACCTTTACAGTTATTAATTTCCCTTTCTCTGTCGTCGCGCAATGATTAATTTTCTCTATACGCGCTCTGATTCTGCCTCTAGAAAGAAAGACAATGAGAAAGGAGAGAGAGAGAGAGAGAAAGAGAGAGAGAGAGAGAGAAAGAGAGAGAGAGAGAGAGAAAGAGAGAGACAGACAGACAGACAGACAGAGAAAAAGAGGAGAGAAAAAAATTGATTAGATTAGAGTAGAGTAAAGAGAGAGAGAGAATAGAGGAAGAGAGAGGGAGAAAGAGAGAGAGACCACCTCATGCAAACACACACACAAACACACACACGAACACACACACACACACACACACACACACACACACACAAATACACACACACACAAACACACTCACACACACACGCATACATACATACACACACACTGCAAATTTCACACTGCAACTATGCACCGACGCTTCTTCTGATAAAGTGTGGGAAAAAAAAAGAAGTCAACTGCAAGAAAAGGTGATGATGACCGCCGAAGCCATAACGGAATTAGTGAAGTGATAATGAAGACGATAATGATAAGCAAAGCGATGATGAATATACCTTGATGATGGCCGAGTGAAGATTGTGATGATGGCGATGATGATGGTGAATGAACAAGACGCTTATTGAAAATGATGGTGAAAATGTACGTTTTGATTGTGTTTTGTGTGATGACATTTGAGATCGTGAAGGTAAAGGTAAAATTTGAAAATTATGATGATTGCGGAATACAAGGACGATAATAATAATCACAAAGGGATAGTGAAAGTCTTAATTGGAGTGAATGCTAATCGTTACAATGAATTAATTGCCGTGATCTTAACCATGCGCCTCTAATTACAGCTTTGTGATTTATTAAGTCCTTGATCATTTTATCCGAAGATTTTTAAAAATTGTTTTAGTAAAACTGAAGACAGCGGCGAAACAGCATTCAGTCCTTTTGTTAACAAGCGATTCTACGATGATAGGACAGCGGATTCTATTTGACTATCAAACTATCTGACCATCCAACTACTTAAGTACCTATCTGGCTATCAAACTATCAGACCATCCAACTACCTAAGTACCTATCTAACTATCAAACCATTTTACCATCTAACTACCTAAGTACCTAACTATCAAACTATCTGACCATCCAACTACCTAAGTACCTATCTAACTATCAAACCATTTTACCATCTAACTACCTAAGTACCTATCAAACTATCTGACCATCCAACTACCTAAGTACCTATCTGACTATCAAACCATTTTTCCATCTAACTACCTAAGTACCTAACTATCAAACTATCTAACCATCCAACTACCTAAGTACCTATCTGACTATCAAACCATTTTACCATCAAACTACCTAACAATATTAAACCTTCTAACCATCTAACTATCTAACTCTAACCAGCTGTTTAACGATCAAATCTAACCACCTAACCATATACATAACTATCTGACTACTTAACTATCTGACCCTCTAGCCATCTAACGACCTAACTATCTAACTACCTATCTGCTTAACTATATTACCATCTAAGTACCTAACTATCTGCTTAACTATATTACCATCTAAGTACCTAACTATCTGCTTAACTATATTACCATCTAAGTACCTAACTATCTGCTTAACTATATGACCCTCTAACTAACTACCTATCTGCTTAACTATATGACCCTCTAAGTACCTAACTACCTGCTTAACGATCTAAATACCTAACTACCCAACCATCTCATTACCACAACACACCGATGCATACACATGTACACATTTATTCACGTTCTTAATATTATGAAAACATTCTCCTTCTTTGAGTGTGTGTTAATGTCTGTTGTTATCTCCTTTAATTAACAGGACTGATTAACAGGTGTGCATTCAGTCGTTAAGGGGATAATAGTCTTGTTTTATTTTCGAAGGAGAGAGAGAGAGGGGGGGGGGGGGCGAGAGAGAGAGAAGAGTAAGGGGGAGAGGGGAGGGGAAGAGAGAGTGAGAGAGAGAGAGAGAGGGGGCGAGAGAGAGAGAAGAGTAAGGGGGAGAGGGGAGGGGAAGAGAGAGTTGAGAGAGAGAGAGAGAGAGGATAGAACAACGGATAAATAGAGGAGAGGAAGAGGGAGAAAGAGAGAGAGAATGTTCTCTTTTTCTTTATTTATTTTTCCACCCTCGTTTATGTGTCTTTCTCTTTTTCTTTTTTTCTTTGCTTAATAATTTATTTCTTTTTAAGAATCCGCGAACACAAAGAGCTAACCCTCAAAAAAATAAAAATAAAATTACTAACCCCCCCCCTTTCCACCCTCCTCCCTTCTCCCCTCTTCCTCTTCCCTCCCCCCCCCCTCTCTCTCTCTCTCCTGCTTCTCCCATCCTCTCCCCACCTCCTCCCATCCTTTTTCCCCTTTCCCCCACCCTCCTCCCCCTCTCCCACCCTCTTCCCTCTCCCCTGCCCTCTACCCCCTCCCCCCACCCTCTTGCCCCATTTCCCCTCCCCCTCCCCCACCCTCTTCCCTCCCCCCTAACCCCCACCCTCTTCCCTCCCCCTCTCCCTCCCTCTTCCCTCCCCCCTCCCCCTCCCCCACCCTCTTCCCCCCTCCCCCTCCCCCACCCTCTTCCCCTCTTCCCCCTCCCACCCTCTTCCCTCCCCCTCCCCCCTCCCTCCCCATATTCCCAACCCCTCTTCTCACACCTTAAACCGCCCCGCCCACCATTACAGCCCACTTTACGCCCACCCTGGTTGTTGGACATTGGGTGTCAATGCCCGATGCTCCTTGGCTATATCAATGCCTTTATGATTTCGGGACTGAGTGGGAGAGGGAAGGAGAGAGAGGGGGGGGAGTGGGAGAGGAGAGGAGAGAGAGAGAAAGGGGGGAGAGGGAGAGGGAGAGGGAGAGAGAGAGAGAGGGGGAGGGAGAAGGAGAGAGAGGGGGTGGAGGGAGAGGGGGAGAGAGAGAGAGGAGAGGGAGAGGGAAAGGGATTGTATGAGTGAAAGAGAGAGAGAGAGAGAGAGAGAACA